ACTACCCTGGAGTCCTTAGGTCTGCTTACCCCGCTTCACCTTTCTACGGAGCACGCGTGGCCTGACTTTGTATTTGTCTGTGTAGTTACTATCTGTCTCCCCTCCTAGAATGTAAGCGCCATACGAGCACAAGATGGGTCAGGCCCCATCTCCGTCTTTCCACACACGGTCTCTGCTCCCCCTCAGAACATGCCAGGGATGTGCTTTCACAGGGGCCACAGGGCCGACGATACACCACGCAGTTCTTCATTTATTAGAGAGTATCCGGCACCCTGCAGACAGCTGAGCCTCAGAGATTCAGGCTACTTAAATAAGCCCCACCAGCAACCAATGGGAGGGCATCCAGACCGCAGGGCGTGGGCTCCAGGAGGCCCAGGCCTCATGGGCCTTGTGTCCCGCTGCGCCCCCAGTGCCCAGCACAGTGCCTGCCACACACTGGGAATGTGACGCATGTTCGTCGCATGCATGGATCAATCCAAATCTCTACATCCTGGTCCGAGCCCAGCAGCATCCCATGCGCCTTCCCTTCAGAGACTTTTCAACCAGCCGTGCAGCTGTGGAGGAGGGCCAGCGAAAGGCAGGCATGCCCTGCTCCCCAGACACCCGTCCTTAAGAGCCCCTCTCCAAAGTCCCTTCCCAGGAGCCTGGAGGGCTGAGGGGTTGGCCGCGGGCTCGTGGAATACGGTCTGTGCCCACCACACGCCAAGCTGTGGGGCCCGCTTCCTGTTCTAACTTGCTAAGCTTCTTCCTTGGTAACAGCAAGATACAGCCCACGGGCAACTCTAGAAGGCGGTGCCCCTCCTGGCTGCCTCCTCCCTTTGGTGGGAGAAAGGTTAACTGTTTCCTAGTAACTCTGAAAGCCACAGCCAGAAAGCCGCCCCTGGCTCCCACCGCAGCTGCCTTCGGACCCCGGGTCGGGAGGAGGCATGGGGGCCACTCACATGAGTATATCAGGGCAGGAAATATGGGCTCGTTTCTCTCCTGGGCAGTCTCCACCAGCATCCTCAGCGGCCCTTTGGGGCACAGCACAGCCACGAGATCTGGGAAAACAAAGACAGGTTAAAAAAGACATTTATGCCCAAGCAGCCCCCAGAGAGAGGAGCCAGCCCTCTAACAATGGGTTGCAAGGGGACAAACGTATCAGAGCCCCAGGGTGAGGCTCTCAGGGCGTGTCCTGCCATCCTAGCAGCTAACCAATGGGTTTCCAGTCACAGTCCCTAGAGCCTGCACTGGCTGGCGCCCAGAGCGGGGTCTCACTGCAGACAAGGAAGAGGATGGGCTTGATGGACCACTTCTCCGGGCCTCAAATTCCTTTCCCCTAAAATGGAAGCACTGGTACTGGTGATGGTAATGGGGCTAATGCTGAGTAAAGAGCAGCGAACACTTTGGATGCTCCTTATGTATAGGTATCGTGCCCAATAACTGACAGTGTGTCAAGTGCTTCACCGTGTGAGAGCTCGATAAACGTTTGCTATTCTCAGTAACCATGTNATAAGCTGCAAAACTGCCATTCTCCAGAGCATTTTCTCAATCCCTTGAGATTTTACTTCCTGGCAACTGCTATTAGTTTGGTTCAAATAAACACCAAAATGCTCTACAGGTTTGGATATTTTTAACCTCTAGAGGGGTGACGCCCTGATTCCACAGGCAGAGGTCACAGAGGTCCTGAGTTCAGGACCCTCCCAGGCCTACCCATGCGTCCCTGGTTTGGCTGGTTCTGATTTGCATCCTTTATAATAGAACTATACTTGTAAGTGTAGTGCTTTCCTGAGTTCTGTGAGGGGGTTGCGGGGACCCCCGGATTTATAGCCTGTTGGCCAGAAGTGTGGATGGCCTGGAGACCTCCAGAGCCTGTGGCTGATGTGTGAAGAGACAGTGGTCTTGTGAACCTGTGGGGTCTGTACTGACTCCAGGTGGTCAGTGCCACCGACCAGCCTGTCTGCTGGGTGACCGCTAACTCAGCCTTCAAGGCCCACCTTCCCCACCTCTGCCCTGAGCACTTTACACCCAACCTCTTACTACCCATGAGGAATGGCTGGAGGGCAGAGGCAGTGTGAATTCTGTAGCACCTCCCTGCTCCCGTGTGCCATCTGGCACTTAGCAGGCGGTCCATAATTGTGGAATGACTCCCTTGGGAACATAACCATCTCGGGACATCTCTGGACACGCCTTTAAGACTGTTCTGCACCAGCTCCTCCTGTATCCCCAGACACATGGGTCTCTCCTGGGGAAGCGACCACCCCAACTCTGCCCTTGCCCCATGCTGCACAGCCCACTGTTGGCCTCCACGTGTGGCAGTGCTGTCAGTGGCTCACCTGCCCAGCCTCGCCTGCCCTCTGAGCCCAGAGCCCACACCCCATGTCCCCCACAGCTACAATGAGACATCCTACAGGCCACTCAAGTGCTCGTGTCAGGATACCACGTGCTCCCAGTGCTCCTGGTCATGTCCCTCCTCCCACACAACCCCAAACCCAATGGCTTCCAGTGCTCANTGTCACACCTCCGAGCTGTCAGCCACCAGGCGTCCCTGCTCTCTGCACAGCTCTCTCTGCTTAGGAAACTTTCTAGTTAAAGAAATGATTGCAGCAGGAAGGAGGGGGGCAGTTAGGCCTCTCTCTTTCATAACTGGACAAATCTCCTTTCTGGGCCCGGAGAACACATAGTCCCAGGGGTGGTCAGGAGATACAGGGAGAAGGACCGATACTGACAAACAGACCAAGCGCCAACATTCCAACAGAATTCATCTATTTATTGACATTAATATTAAGCCACTTCCCAGCAGGAACTGCTGTAACAAGAACAGGACTCGGTTTCTAAGGATAATAAAATAACAATGACATCACACACAAAACATGGGGAACATTCCTTGCAGAGAAAATTGGCTTTTCTTCTTTGACCAGAGTGATCAGGTGCTAAGTGCCATCCCAGGCACGAACTCCTGCACAAAATCCTTCATCTTGGCCCTTGGAACACTCCAGGCTGTGAGGCGTGACGGGGTGGCCTTCTCCATGCTGCTCCTCACCTCACGGACCTTCCTCAGTTCATCTGGATGGACTTCCTGTTTCCTGTCGGTGAAGCGAGTGCTCATGAAGAGATGAGCCACAGTCCGGTGACAAAACAACTAGCACCAAAACGCTGGTTCTTCTTCTTCACAAAATAAACACGCTTTTCTCTTTTCTTTTCTTTTTTTTTTTTTTTAAGGAAAGAAAAATCTTAAAAATATATGGCACTAGAGTGTAAAACTATACAACTGCATCCAATTACAATTTCCTACAGCTTCCGGCCACAGTGCCACACGTCCCTTCAGATGTAGAGCTGATGGGAGGCCAAGGTGTCCATGAAAGGGCGCACCAGGTTGTCTGTGGAGAAGTAGAAGATGAGCCCAAACGTGATGGAGATGGGGAGGGCAGGCAGTGCTTTCTTGAACACGGCGAGCAGCAGGAGGGTCAGACACAAGCCCTGCAGGACACAAAGGTGAGGGGGAGGTGATGACCACTGGTGTGGACGGGGTGGTGAGCAGTTAGTGATGGCCCAGTCCCCAGGCTCAGGAGCTTGTCAAGGAGTTGTCACACAACAGCCCTGGTCCTCCCCTGGTCCTCTCAGCAGCTCTGCGAGGGGCCCAAGGGCAGGGGTTGTCACCCCTGCGGGCCTCCTGACTCCTAGAACAGTGTTGCCTCCACCAGACCATAGTGACATGAGATG